TTGTGCTACTGCTTGATTTTCCACTGTTTTTTTTGAAATGTATGTGAAAGTCAAAGTCAAGTGTTGTCATATATGGTCTCTTTAGTGTCTTGAGGACAATCCTTTACGCGAAAGAAGCACCAAAGTAGGACTCCAAGTTACAATGAGGAATTAAATTGTCTACCCCTATTTTCCATCTTCTTGAGTAGGGGAAAAATATGTTGGGTTTGATTCGGGTTTTAGTAAAAAAATTTGTTTCTCTAATACCTAAATAAGAGGCGTTATAGATTTTGAAATATGACTTTTACTTTTAGGTGTTCTCTTCTACTTCTATAGTTTTGATGATTTGGAATGCTCAGTGTGCATATAAATTCATTTCCTTTTTCTTGGTTTGGATTCATAGGCAGAAGTTTGCTTAAGATACATGTAAATATATCTTAAGCTTGTCTGTAATTGTATTCGTGTAATACTAGAATTGACGAAGGGCGGCATATCTATAGTTTTAGACACTTATTTTGAGGCGTTATAGATTTTGAAATATGACTTTTACTTTTAGGTGTTCTCTTCTACTTCTATAGTTTTGATGATTTGGAATGCTCAGTGTGCATATAAATTCATTTCCTTTTTCTTGGTTTGGATTCATAGGCAGAAGTTTGCTTAAGATACATGGAATATCATCCACTAAAAAAAATTAAATCCACCTGTGATTTCGAAACTTTAAGAGCTGGTTTTAAAACTTTAAAAGTCCCCAAACAGACTTGGATTATGATTTTCAACCCCAAAATGAAAATTATTGAGCAAGAAACTGAAATTGTAGGTGATTTCCAAGAGACAAGTGAACTTTTAGACACTTATTTTGAAACAAAAAATGATTGTGAAGCTTATTTTTATGGAAAAACTGAAACTTTGGGGCCTTTTTTCAACATTTTTAAAGCCTGAGATTCATGAGAAATTTTGTACTTTAGGGGCTGCTTTCCAAAGAGAGGTCTGTTTTTTGAGTTAATTTGCAACACAAAATAGAAGCTCTAATGGGTGATTTTTTAAAGAAACCTGAATTGGCAATATTTTGATGGTAATCCTCGATTGACTACGTTATTTTGGAACCTAACTTTTAGATTCTAACATTTTTCAATTCCTTGAGTTCCTTCCAACATCCAATTATGTGTTTCCAACCCAAAAGAACATACCTTGAATATGCATAATTTATTTGTACACATATTCCTTAATGTGTGAACTCTGAACCGTAATTAACTACATAATTTTACCTGAGAGCGTCATTCCCTAAGAAAGCACATGCACTCTTTACATGACCTATGTAGTGAGTATCTAAAAACCTCATAAAAATTGGAAATCACGAAAAAATGAAAATGACACAGTACTTTTTTTCTTAAAAAGAGATAGAGAAGATGAGGAATGGAAGAACCTGCAATGTTCCTTAGCTGGTTTACATCCCACCAGGATGAATGGGCCAGAATTTCTGCCTCCAATCTTCTCTGGGCTTCAATGGCTTTGAGCTGGAGTTAATGATTGATAGATAATTATTTCCCACTAAATTTGTTTATGTAACTATTCTCAACTCAAGTACCAATTTAAACATCTATTTTGGCTTCTCTAACACTTTTTGCATACCTTATTCAAAATAAGTTCCCAATGAACTCTGAAAATACAGTTTTTCCAAATGTATTATTTTGCTTATCCTCTTTTAAAGGGGAAATTCTCCTACTTACGACATAACTTCTAAACAATGTAATTTCATTTTTATCTTTAGAACGATTAACTTATTTTAGCGCTTAATTATTTATGCAGGTGACTCTTGTACTTATCTTGGTCTTTCTTGATCTCTTCAAGGCACAATTTAAATTCCTTGGTATGTTCACACACTTTAAAATTACGCTTGTATTAATTTTTGTTCTTTTAAAAAAAAGGTGCTTTCTAAGTAGTTCACCCTTCTTGGAATTAAGTCAAAGCCTTGGTATAATACTCTCTAAAATTTTTGTTCTTCGAATGTTTAATATGCAATGCATGCCCTGTAATTGCTTCAAAGGTATTTTAAGTTTACATGCGTTTAAGAAATATTTAAATTTTTATAATGGAATGTTTTTAACCCTACTTCAAAGGTATTTTAAGTTTACTACTTTAATTTCCAAACATGCAACCCTTTGATTAGTCATAGGTTTACTTGTAACTCCTCAAAGATTCAATGGAAACTGGGACGTCATCAACTCAACCAACATTTGATAGAGATCGGAGTGAACAAAGAAACTTTAGGCGCCGTCTTAGATACCGTGAGTTACGTGACAGTGAAAAAAACGTTGCTTCAAATATTACTAGACGTTCCAGTGTCTGTGCCAGTTCTTCCACTAAAGGTGTAGCATTTAACTCATTTATCGTTTCTAATTTACTTATATCTTTCTTTGCCTTCGACGGAATTTCCTAATTTCTTCATGTTTTTCCCAACTCTACCCTTCTTCAAAACTTATAACAATGTCACCATTCCACCTACAACTATATATCATATTCTTATAGAATCACCGACAAAGTTTGCATATCAGGATACAATTTATTCTTTAAAGAGAGTGTTAGACTGTATTTTTTGTGGTGCAAGCCGCATCCAGTTTGAACCTCTTGGGTTTTGCTGTTGCCGAGGTCAGGTCGTTCTTTCATCAACACAGATGCCTCCTGCTCTAAAAGACTTATATATCGCCAATGACGTCAAAGGAAAACAATTTCAATCTCTTGTCCGCACATACAACAACACATTTGCGTTCACGTCAATTGGTATATATAATTATGACAAAGATTTATGCAGGAGAAATAAAGGAATTTACACCTTTAAGGTTCAAGGACAAATACATCACTTTGTAAACGACTTGCTTCCAAGTGGATCTCCACCTCGAAATTTACAACTCTATTTTTATGATACCGATCACCAAGTTGAGGATAGAGTACAGACATCAGATAGATTAGACAAAGAGATTGTAGCTGCTCTTGTTGAAGTGATTTCAGACAACCCATACGCTCA